TTGTTTTCTTCGGCAATTGCCTTAGCTTGGAGTTTGAGGACGCATTCATCGCATGTTTTCAAATGTCTGCATGGTAAAAGAACCGTGTTAGGAGCTTCTGTCATGCTGACAACACACAAATTTCCCTCTTCTTGTGTTTCCTCGACAACTACATCTTCTTCTTCTGGGGAAGAATCTTCTCGAACTTCTTGGAAAATATCTTTTTTCGGAACCATATTAACACATATACCATTTCTATCGTACACCATACGAGATAAAAATGTTTCCACTGTTATCATTCCTTTTTCTATAAGTTTTGTAGAATCTTCTATTTTGTTGTCTCTAACAGCACTGCTCTTTCGCGTTTTCTTCTATATATATATATATGTATATGTATATATATATATATATATATATATATATATATATATATATATATATATATATATACATATATATATATATAAATATATATATATATATATATATATATATATATATATATATATATATATATATATATATAGAAGAAAACGCGAAAGAGCAGTGCTGTTAGAGACAACAAAATAGAAGATTCTACAAAACTTATAGAAAAAGGAATGATAACAGTGGAAACATTTTTATCTCGTATGGTGTACGATAGAAATGGTATATGTGTTAATATGGTTCCGAAAAAAGATATTTTCCAAGAAGTTCGAGAAGATTCTTCCCCAGAAGAAGAAGATGTAGTTGTCGAGAAAACACAAGAAGAGGGAAATTTGTGTGTTGTCTGCATGACAGAAGCTCCTAACACGGTTCTTTTACCATGCAGACATTTGAAAACATGCGATGAATGCGTCCTCAAACTCCAAGCTAAGGCAATTGCCGAAGAAAACAATATATTAAAATGTCCTTGCTGCCGAGGTATTGTGGAGGACACAATGAGAATATTTACCTGATATATCTTAGATACATATATATAATATAATTATTTTTTTTATTAATTTTACAGTACAATGTATATATACGTAAATTTTGAATAGATTATAATTTTTTGAACAGAAACAAAATAAAAATCTATTTTGGAGAAAAAACACTTTTGGGGTTTAATTCATTTATTAAATTGGGGACTTATTTCATTATGAAATAAATCCCCAATTATGGGGACTTATTTCATTTTATTTTGGGGAGTTTTTTCCTATCATTGGGGAGTTATTTCATTTTAATTTTTAGGGATTTATTTCATTATGAAATAAAGCCCCAAATTTGGGGACTTACTTCATTTTCAGTTTGGGGACTTATTTCATTGGGGACTTATTTCGTAACGCCGGCATTTTGTGACATTCAATTTTAGTTCCCATTTTTTAAAATATTCACATAGCTTTTCGAGATACTTATTTATTTTCCTCTCAACGGTATGTGCATAACGTCCGCTCATTGCTATAATGACGTCATCTGCATATGTTAATAACAGACCCCCTTCTAATTGCCCAGGAATATCGCTGAAGAATATATTATACAACACCGGCCCCAAAAGTGATCCCTGTGGGACACCTGAAAAAACCGGGCGTTGTTCAGACATATCCTCACCAACTTTAATCCTGAAATGCCTATCCTTTAGGAAGTCTGCTACCATCCTACAGGTTTGCCTTTCAAAACCAAAGGATTGCAATTTATAGAATATACCCTTTTGCCACACTTTATCAAAGGCTTTTTTAAAGTCTAGTTCCACTGCCATGGTACCCATTTTTCTCCTGTACCAATCTGTAACATAATTAGTGAATGCTACAAGAGCATGAGAAGTACAATGCTGTGGTCTAAAGCCAAATTGACAATCTCTTAATATTTTGTGCTCTTCAATGGTGTTTTTAATTCTTTCAAGAATAAAATATTCAAAAAGTTTACTAAATGGGGACAGGAGAGAAATGGGTCTGTAGTCCTCACAATATTTGCCATTTGTATTCGGTTTTTATACCGTCCACCATAGTATGGAAGGTATATTAAGTTTGTCATTCCGTCATTCCTCGAAATATACATTTTAGACCCCACAAAGTATATAAATTCTTGATCAGCATAAAATTCTATGTCGATTTATCAATGTCTGTCCGTCTATCCGTCTGTCCGTCTGCGGAAATCACTCTAGCTTCCGAACGAAATGATGTAGGTTGATAAAATTTTACTCAAATGTGTACTATGTCTGCAGGACTATTGGTATTGAAAATGAGCCATGTAGGTCCACGTCTTCGTATAGCCCCCACATATTGGTACCTCCCAGTATTCGGTATTTTGATGATTTTAGCGGCGTTCTTTACCGGAATTGTTTCACATTTTGCATTTGAATTTCATAATGGATGCTACAGCCTATCACAGAAAGTTGTCTGTGCAGGTCCACGCCTTCGTATAGCCCCCATATATCGGTACCCCCCGATCTTCGGTATGTTCATGATTTTAGCGACAATATTTACCGGAATTGTTTCAAATATCGCATTTAAAGTTCGTGAAGTTCGATATTACAGCCTATGACAGAAAATTGCCTGTGCATTATAAACAGATTTTTTTTAAGTTTCGCATTTCAATATTGTAATAGCTTGTGACAAAAGTTGCCTATGCAGGTCCACATCGTCGTATAGACTCTAATATACGCCTACATTAGGTATTTTCAAGATTTTAACAGATTTTTAAGGGATTTCATTTTTTTGAAAATTGTTAAATTTGTACCAAATGGTGGAGGGTATTTATTTTACTTGTTTTAATTGGTATTACCAAGGCCTTTTTCCATTCTCTTGGAAAGTAACCAAGGTTAAAAGCCTTGGTTAGATTTTTTAGACGATATTTTTTAATGGCATCTAAGACTGCTGCAGGATTAACAAATCCACCCTCATTCCATTTAGCTTCATCCCCTATAATTGAGCCATCAGCTGCAATTTTTTCTCCAAAACTTAGCAGGGGATTATGTTCCTCAATTCCCTCCACAGCTTCAACTTCAAGATTGTGGAAGGTGGAGTTTGTTTCACCCTCCCTTATTTGTTGTATATTTTGGAGATGGTTAGCCAATAAATTGGCTTTTTCCTCATTATTGTTTATAGGATCACCTCTATCGTTGAATATACTACTTATTGGTCCCTTTAGAGATAGGCCTGCAGCAGTTTTCACTTTAGAAAAAGTGGTAGGGTTTACTTTTATTTTTTCTATATGCGATATGTACCTGTTATTTTCGAAATTTGCTATTAGTTCTTTTAATATTGTGCCGAGATTTTTAATATCAGCTCTAATTATATTATATCTCTCCGGGTATGGTGTCCTCTTTAAAATTTTCTTTTTTTCATTAGATTTATGATGTTATATGGTAATTTTCCTAAGGTATAATTCTTACATACTTTTTTTGGGACACATTCTTCTATTGTCTCTTTAAAAACGATATTTAGTCTTTCTATGGAAATGTCTATTTCTGATATTGTTGCATTTCTATATATTGGCAACTCATGTTCTAATAATTTTGCTTCTAATCTTCCCTTATACCTTTATATATTAATTTTATAATAATCATAGTAGGTCTTGATCTCTTTTGCTTGGATATTATTAATAATAATTATTATTTCGACGGCCTTATGATCCGATTCAAAATACTTCGTTGCTAATAGACCATGTTCTGTTCTTACAACACCAGGTGTTATGATGAAGAAATCTATGTAAGAGTCTTCAACTCTATTGAGCCTTGTGGGACTGATGTGGGGCAACATAATAGACAATCCCTAAGTTCACAACCATTTACATTGTTTATTCTTATTCCCCAGTCTCTGTGTTTCGCATTTAGGTCACATCCAATTACAATATCATTGTTTGCACCCAAGTTTGAAATTTCATCGAGACTGGAGGTCTAAAAGAAGTTTTAGGAGCAAAATACATAGATATAAATATTATAGGCAGACCTTCTGTCTTGTATTATTTAATTGCACAAGAGTCTATGTTACCTGTATTTATTGTAATTTCTTCATACTTATATGAACTTCTTATCACAATGGCTGTTCCACCACCCTTTTTGTCTAAAAAAAAATAAAATAAAAAAATAAAGTAAAGCAGCAAAAAAGGCCGGCAAAGCCCAAAAGAACATTACCAAGGGCGATAAGTCGAAGAGACGTACTAAGCGTAAGGAGAGTTACGCTATCTACATTTACAAAGTGTTGAAGCAAGTCCATCCCGACACCGGTATCTCCTCCAAGGCCATGAGCATCATGAACAGTTTCGTCAAGGATATCTTCGAACGTATTGCCGCCGAAGCCTCTCGTTTGGCCCACTACAACAAGCGCTCAACCATCACCAGTCGGGAAATCCAGACCGCCGTCCGTCTATTGTTGCCCGGTGAATTGGCTAAGCACGCCGTCAGTGAAGGTACCAAGGCTGTTGCTAAATACACCAGCTCCAAGTAAATGTCTTGATATTTTTCATTTTGCGTCGAAATACTACCTTAAAAGGGCCTTCACAGGGCCACAAAAAACAATTCTCAAGAAATCATATTTTTGTTGAAACCCCTTATTTGCTGATATTTAGTAATAAACGAATAAATTTCCATAGGAAATATATTTTTCTCTATACAGTGATTTTTTCGTGCATTTAGCTAACTCGCATATGTACCTCTGTTTAGCCTTTGCTTGCTTGGGTTCTATGCTTGCTTGTGCGATATGCTATAACAGACATCGTCATCGTATATGTGTGCGTGTGTTAGTGATGTTTTGCCTTGCCGTCGTTGATCAACATCGAATGGGCATCACGTATGTGTGAGCATTTTGTTTCTGTACAACGGGAAAGCAACGAAATATAATGCTGAGGCAGAAATTTTCAAAGGAAAATATGTATTGATGGAAAATGTAAATATTTTGCCAAAATGTCATTTTTGGATGCAATTAATGAAATTTGACAGAGAATATGAAAATGGCAATATTTGTCTCTTTTTTAATTTAATTTGTAGCCCTGAAAAGGGCTTTTAGATAGTATGTTTTCGAATATCGAAAATATTGTGGAAAAAGTAATCTTTCTGGGAAAAATTACTTCTTGGTGGCGGCTTTCTTAGCAGCTGGCTTCTTCGCTGCTGCGGCTTTTTTGGGCTTAGCAGCTGCAGTTTTTGCCTTGGGTGCCTTTGGTTTAGTGGCAGATGCTTTGGCGGCAGTCTTTGCTGGTTTAGCTTTAACTGTACCGGTTTTCTTGGCAGCCTTTGCCTTTGTTTTGTCGGCCTTCTTCTTTTCAGCGGTCTTCTTGGCGGCAGAGGGTTTTTTGGCAGCTGCCTTCTTCTCACCAGCGGCCTTTTTAGGGGCGGCAGCCTTCTTCTTTTTGTCACCAGCGGCTGGGGCCTTCTTCTTCTTTTCAGCAGTCTTGGCTTTGGGTTCCTTGGAGGCCGAAGCAGACAATTTGAATGAACCAGAAGCACCCTTACCTTTAGTTTGGATCAATTTTCCACTGGCAACGGCACCTTTCAAGTACTTCTTGATGAAGGGGGCCAATTTTTGGGCATCTACTTTGTAGGTGCTGTCCAAGTATTTCTTGATGGCGAGCAATGATGAACCTCCACGTTCCTTCAGGGTCTTGATGGCGGCATCAACCATTTGCTGGGTTGGAGGGTGGGTAGGGGCAGCTGATGGCTTCTTTGCTTTGGCAGCGGCTTTTTTTGGTGCCTTTTTCTCAACAGCGGCAACTGGGGAGGCGGTGGCTTCAACAACGGCGGCGTCAGACATGGTTATTCACTGTTTGGTTTATATTTCACTGTTAACACAAATACACTCACAAATTTATGTGTACTATTATTTTTGTTAGCGGCGAGCTAAAGTGTAGGTACATCGAAAAGATGAGATGTGCATAGTAGTCAATTGGTAAATTTTTCGAAAGATTGTGTGGAAGCGTGTTTAATTATTTACAAAAGTTTTCGGAGAAATTAAATTTTCCTGAAGAAGCTTTGATTATTTTAACTAAAAATGTTTTATACCTTTACAGTATAGATTTCAGGCTATGTTTTAAAGAAAGTTTGGTGTAATTATCACTTGCCGTTTGTGAATTATAAACGTTTAACTTGGCAGATTATAAATATGTAATCACAAATTTCCAACTAAAATTTAAAAAAATCAAATTTTTTATGAAAATTTAACTGAAAATTCTTTTTGAAAATGTAGCCTGATATGTTTACTTCAGGACCAAAGAAAAATATCGATGAAATTTCATATTTTACTATGTGAAAAAATTGAAATTATTATGTGGTCTATGACAGCAGAAATCCTCTTGTTGGCATAATTTCAATGAAGAAAAGTTTTTCTTGAAATAAATTTGAAAGCTCAAATCTTAATAAGTTTTATAAAAATTTCTTAAAAAACATTTCAGAATTTGTATATTTACATCAAAATATAACATTATTCACAAAAAGTTATAATTTACGGGGAAAAGTTACAAAATCCCCGGAATACTTTATACTACCAATGTACAGGCATTCAGTGACAAACGTATTTTTATTTTGCAATATTTTTTATTAAATTTAACATAATTTGTTCTATAATTTATAAAAAATAGTGTTAAAAGCCATTTTCTACGTTATTTTGTCAAATTTTTGTCAATTTTCTGAAAAAATATTCCCAAAAAGAAATTCCTCTTTACAGCCAAATATCACCTAGAACACTTGGAAATGTCATGAAATTAATTGCGTTTTACAAAATTGTTTTTCGATCAACTTCAAAGGTAGATATTATTGGCATTTCATATTATAATACTTTTAATTATATTTTACATCAAAATTATCAACAAATCAATTATTTTCTTCAATTTTTGAAAATAATAAATTATTACCAATTTCTCTAAATACATCGGACAAAAATAATTTTGTAATTCCATACGGAGAAAATTCATATTCAAATCTCTTAAAATGCATATAAAACATTTAAAAATTTAGCTGAAAAGGAAAAAAACATATTTCATACATCATTCCTGAAAAAAATTAAATAGAAGGGGCAAATTTATGTGTACTATTATTTTTGTTAGTGGCGGTTTCAAATTCAAATTGCTTCAAATTTATTGATTCCAAAATCCATAAACAATATTTCAATAACTTTATATTACTTAGCATATTAGTATTTTTTTAAGTCTATGTCTATTATACATACATATGTTGTATCAGGTATACAAACATATCCGTAATACTAGTTTTATATCTTTATTCAGTATAACTCCAAAAACAGGAATCATAAAATGGAGTTCATAACATTTTTTGTTTTTACTTAAAATTAACTTATGCTAGAGAAATAATGAATATATATTTACAAAAGAAAAGAGCGCTTCATCGTTTACTGATCGGTTTGGTGTAGATTATTGTCAATGTAAAGGAGACCTTCTCGGTTCAAAGTGCCAAGGCTACCAGGAGCATGGTAGTTTGATTCGCTGTTCTATACTACTATATTCTACTAAACTCTTACTTATTATATTATTATTCACGAAACGTGCATTTTCTAGGAATTTTAAAGAAGATTTCACTAAAAATACATCTATTCTGTCAAAGGGGGTGTTTCTGTACACTTCACTGTTATGAGGCTGCATCCATATCCCGTTTTCGTTCATTTGGGGCCTCATACCAAGACAGGATCATAATATCATTCTTTCCCATTGTCTAATTCTTTCCATTTGATGAGAAGAAATGCCGAACCATACGGGAAATGCGTAGGAAATTATTGTTCTAATTGTTTTTTTTATATCAATAATTTAAACTCTTGATTTATTCCACTAGATTGCCGGATTATCCGCTGATAAGCCCAAAACATTTTCTTTGCCTTCGCTTAAACAAAGTCTACATGATTTATGAAGTCAAATTTGGAGTGAAATATTACTCCCAATTATTTAATTTGGTCAGAAACCCTAATTTGTTGTCTCGAGATTGTGAGTACTGCCTCAAACCCTCTGGCGCTGTGGAAAAGATGTTTTTTTTGACCTTCAAACACAATTCCTTCACATTTATTGACGTTAAGGCTCAATTTCCATGTTTCAAAAAAGGCTGATAAACGTCCTAAATACTCATTTATACGTGTGTTTGTGTTCTCCGTATGCGCACCAGAAGCTGCGACAAGAATGTCGTCAGCATATATGCGCAGCAGATCCCCCACAGGGGGTTGGGGATATCACACAAATATATTTTTAATAGTACTGGACCCAAAAGGGATCCTTGGGGTACATCAGCAAGTATGTCTCTAATTGTGGAGAAATCATTTTTGACCCTGATCATAAATTTTCTATTTTTAAGAAAGTTTGATACTAGCCGACAGATTTTGGGGTTGAAGCTAAGTCTGCTAATTTTGAAAACTATTCCTTCGTGCCACACGCTATCGAATGCCTTGGAGAAATCAAGGCTAACGGCTATAGTATTTTGCCTATTGTTTAGGCCTTTATTCACGTGTGTTCCTAGGGCTGTGAGAGCATGTGAAGTAGAAAGTCCCCTCCTGAAACCAAATTGGTTGTCAGTTGGAAAATCCCTATCTTCTATGACATTATTAATATTTATTTTTAAAATAAAATATTCAAGTAAGTTGCCGAGCGCTGACAAAAGACTAACAGGTCTATAGCTGTCCGCTCTTGATGGGTCTTTGCCGGGTTTTAGAATCGGAACCGTTATAGAAATTTTCCACGCAGATGGGAAGTATCCCAAGTTAATGCCGTGGTTAAATAATATAGAAATGGTTTGCCATGAAGTACTATCTGTGGATCTTAGTACTATGTCTGGGATACCGTCCGGTCCACTAAACTTTTTATTTGACCTGCATTTGAGTGCGGACCCTATATCTAAAGGAGATATAAAATTGTGCTGCCGCAACAAATTTGGGTTATTAGGGGTGCCATTATCAGCAGGAAAATTAGCTGAAAACTGCACAAGTGGAGAACTCATATCAAAGGCTGAAGTTTCATAATTAATATACCTGTCGGGAATATTATGGGAAACTTCAAATCTTTGTATGGTATCAGCGATTAAATTAGCTTTGCAGGCATCGAGGACAATGAGGTCATCATTGTCATCGCGCAGGTCGGGGATAATACCGCGCTTTACCCCAGCAGCAGCTTTAACCTTATCATAAACCCTATCGTTCATTTGGATACTATTTAGAAAACTCGTCCATTGAGTACTTTCATACTCAGAAGTAGCACCCTGAATAATCGTGTCCAAGTTTCTGATTTGGGCTTTCAAAATATCAAATCTGCCCGGATCTCCCTTGCGATATAATATCCTACGTAGTCTTTTTTTCTCACTAATAAAATTTAGGATGTTTTGGGTATAGAACCATCCATTGCTCTTTTGGATGTGTCAGTAACAGTTTCTACACATTGGTCTATTTCTATTATGTTAATATTTCTATTGACAGGAGGGTAGTTCCTCAGAAAAAATAGCATTTAATCTACGTTTATTGAGCCTTCTAAAATCGTAAAATGTACGGCGATCCCTACGTTCTGGGGTTATTCCAGAGTACTAATACCCCTTCCACCATTGTCATCGATTGTGATACCAATAGAGATCATACAAATATCAATATAAGAGTTGGAATCTCTATTAATCCTTGTTGGTCCATCTGTTGGTGAAACAATCAGATCTGGGCAGGATAATAGAAATTCATTTACAATTCTACCCTTGGGGCAAGTAAGATGACCACCCCAGTTAGGATGTCTGGCATTTAGGTCAGCACCTACAATAACATTCCCATTTAAAGAAAGGGCCCGGAGAATCTCTAAGTCCCCACTATCAAGGTCATTTTGTGGTCTAGAATACATTGATACTAGGTACACTGATGTCCCGTTATCCCTATATATTTTGACACAAGTGCTGTCAATAGTCCCTGAATTTATTGCTATTTGTTCAAATTTAATGTCATCTTTTACTAGAATGGCGGTACCTCCCCCAGGCCCGCCCCCTCTTCTTTGGATAAAACATAGATATTCATCCATGACTAGATCATGCTGTGCAGCTAGTTTGTGTTCTGCCAACATCATCACTTCTGGGCGGTATTCGTCAAGGAATACTCGAAGAAAGTGGCTTTTTCGCCTTGAAATTAAGGAATTTATATTAGCAAATATACATTTTATTTGACTAATCATCGTTGCTAAGGGCTGCTAGTATGCCCACCATTGCTTTCGCTTGGTTGGCTTTATCTAAAGTACCTATGTCCTTAGAGAACCTGCGGACTTTTTCAAAGCATGTAAAGAAATCTTTACCGAAACTCTCCATGTAAATTTGGTCGAAGACTCCAAAAGAGTTCAGAGCTTCTCCCATTGGATTATTTCCCATGGATGGGGTTGCCTTATCGTTTTTGGTACCTTTAGCTGCTATCGAAGCATATTGGACACCGGCTTGGACTGTACCACTGTCCTTGATAATTTTGGTTTTTGGCGTTGGCGAAGTTTTAACAGGTTTAGCTGCGTTCATCTTTGCTATTTGCGCAATTCTAATTGGGCATTAGCCGCATGACCTGGTTTGTTGCAGTTAACACAGAAGTATGTGAATTCTGGCTGCAAGGATTTTTCACCAGTGACAGGGTCTATTACCTCGATAAATTTAGGTTTTTGGATTGCCAGAAGGAATGTGGTATTTTCCTGGACCATGACCGCCTCCACATTTCACGCATCTATATGGCATACCGCAGTTTGTCGATACATGCTTATAACGTTGACAGTTATGACACTGAGTCAATCTTTTACTCTTATCTTTACTGACTCTAATTGAGCTATTAAGGAGGAATTTTAGCCTACATAGCCCTCTAATGTCCGAATCCTTACTAATATGGATAAGCC